ACGATTTCTTGTGTTTCCTCACCCTCATGAGGGTACTAAAGGTAATGCTATTGTGATGATTATGACTTTGGGGCTCCTCACAGTCATCTCTTTCATGACCACACCAAACGGAATAGATGTTCCCTTCTTGAGCAGTTTTAACTACTTGTTCTAAGAAATGGATCTCAGTTCTTTCAAAAACTTCCTGGCATATATCATATGCCTGTCAGTTTATGTGTGGGTAATTAAAACTACTGAGCTCATTGTGTTGTCTGAAATGTGGTTTTTAATAGTTTTACCTGAGATTCAGCAGATTTAGTCTTGCGTTTTTCCAAAAGCTAATGAAACCAACTCAATAGGAGCTTTAAAAAAAATGCAGAAGACCCCAGTTATACTGACTGAGACTCTTGAGTCCCCAAGGAATTCTAGTATGCAAAATGTTTAAAAACAACTAGTTTAATGTACAAATCTGGTTACTTTTTCAGACATTTACTCAATAACATTTTACCTTTTACTATAGAAAAAGATATATGGTAGTATAAAAACAAAAAAAAAAACACACCAATAGATTCATGTAGTGATAGACAATAAATAACTATATAACAAGCCACAATAGCATAAATAATATGGGAATGCCAAGGTGAAACAATATTCTTCCTGGCATGTAAAAGAAATTTTCAGAAGCTCAGAACAAGAGTCATTTCGGAATCACTGAGGCAAATGTGTGTAGAGAACTATCAAAGAAGACTGAAAAGGGGCAGATCATAAAATGTCCTGAAGGTCAGCCTGAGGAGTATTTTGATCTTTTATTATGAGTATAAAAATAACACCCCTAGAAATTCCCTTTCTTTTATGACTTTGGCCCTAAAGATATTTCTGATGCTTCTGATCCAGGATTACATTTTTCCTGGACCCCTGTTGACTGTCCTCCCTGAAGTACTTGCAGCTTGTAATCACCACATTCTTCTGATGATCCTCGTGTCTTCACCTATTTCTGCTGCCAGCTTAACCAAAACCCTTAATTCCAAATCATTTTACCTACTTCATTCTTTAGGCATCTGGGATTTGTAAAGACAAATGTATACACTCTGCCTCAGACTCAGTGACTCTCACAATCTTTTTTTTAAAGAAATAGTTTTATTGATTTCAGAGAGGAAGGGAGAGGGAGAGAGAGATAGAAACATCAATCGTGAGAGAGAATATAGTACTGGAAGTGCTAGCCATAGTGATCAGACAAGATGAAGAAATTAAAGGCATCCAAATTGGAAAAGAAGAAGTAAAACTGGCCTTATTTGCAGATGACATGATACTATACATAGAAAACCCCCAAAGACTCCATCAAAAAACTACTATTCCTAATAAATGAATTCAGCAATGTAGCAGGATACAAAATTAATACCCAGAAATCTTTGGCCTTTATATACACCATTAATGAACCCACAGGAAGAGAAATGAAAAAAACAATTCAATTTACCATTGCACCAAAAAAATAAGATACCTAGGAATAAACTTAACTAAGGAGGTAAAAGATTTGTACTTGGAAAACTATAAGACATTGAAAAAAGAGACAGAGGAAGACATAAACAGATGGAAGAACATACCATGTTCATGGATTGGTAGAATCAACATCATTAAAGTGTCCATACTACCCAAAGGAATGTATAAATTCAATGCACTTCCCATTAAAATACCAAAGGCATACTAAACAGATATAGAACGAACTTTCCAAACGTTTATCTGGAATAAAAAAGACCCCAAATAGCTGCAGCAACCTGAGAAAGAACAAACTAGGTGGGATCTCCATACCAGATATCAAGCTGTATTACAAAGTCACTGTTCTCAAAAGTGCCTGGTACTGGCACATG